TTTTCACACCCTTTTCTTTTTTATCTTTTTGAGTTGTTTCTTTCTCTGCCTTTTCTTTAGAGTTGTATGTTTTGTGGTAGTTGTTGGTATCAGTTCGTGATATGAAATTGCTAGATCTTGTTATTTGACTTTTCGATTATGTGTTGAAGCAATGAGGTCATTGCCTCATTTTAAGTGTGGGGAATGTTTACTGTGATTTTGCATGCTTATGTGGGGGCCGGTCTAGTTTTAGGTTTTTGTTTTGTCGACCATGAGGTATTGGTGAATTATATGATTTGTTGATAAATGTTTGATGAAATTGTGATGTTTTGATGACGGACGTGTTGGTCACTGCCTCGATATATGCTTTATTGCTTTAAGTGACATTTATCTGCCTTATGAGGTTTTGAGCCTTACTTTTCTTCTTGTAAGATATTGGTCATATTCTCGCATGATTGGAACTTGCCTTGAATTTGTCTGAAGTTTGAAATTGCAAAAATGATTGAGGCGTTTTGTTAGAATTAGCTCTCCTTAGCCTTACTCTTGATCACAATAAAAATTTCCAATAGTAGCCCGTTTGAGCTTTGAGCATTTTTCTTGTCAGTCGTACATGAAATGTATTTTGTTGACTGATTTGGTGATGATTGGTGAAAATGGTGTCGTTTCTGAATGAGGTGAATTAGAATTGGATTTCTATTGCTTGACCTGAAAAAAAAGAGCTCACAAAGCGATTCAAATGGATTCTGCTCTTCTTACTAGTCGATTCACGTTGGCGGTAATGAGCATTGGGAAACTACTGTAGGACACTTGGATGACCTTCAATGTTCACACCTACAGATTGCCGTCCTTTTGATTCGATCTTGTTTGGAAAATTTCTCTCTAAATAAAAATGATAATAATAATAATAATAATAATAATAATAATAATAATAATAATAATAATAATAATAATAATAATAATAATAATAATAATAATAATAATAATAATAATAATAAAATTTGGTCAAGTATTGTTGCAATTCAATGTTAGAGCAATTAGATGTTATTTGTGGAGTTGCTGGTGGACGGTATATGTGCTAGCTTGTTGGTTAGGATGAGTAGCGGACATTCAAGTAGTGTATTACTCGAAAAACTTTGGTTGATTATTTGAGCTTTTTATCCATATATATACCCGCACCTTTACCTTAACACACATTACAACCGGTGAAGTCCTCTTGATTCACATCTTTGAGCTTTGATTGTTTTCGAGTAAATTAAACGATTGGAAACCATATGTTGAAACTTGAATATTGACGAATGTGAGCGAACATATCATGTATTCATGTAAGAAAACGAGTGTGACATATATGATAACCTATGTTTTGAGATTTTTTCATTTCAGGGCCTAGTTAATATTTGAGGCATATGGTCATATGGTCGTTGCAATTAGACTTGGTTGAATTGGACATTTTGAAACTCTTATTATTTGAAGTCGTATCCATGCTCGTCTCTTGTCTTCTTTTCTTTTTGTTCGGGATGAACAAAGTTTAAGTGTGGGTAGTTGTTTGTCCCATTTTTGTTGCATCCTTGTTATTTTTCTTTTCTTTTTCCCCCATATTAGGTCTTTTAGATGGTTTATAGGTCGTTTTGTAGGTTATTGCATGTGTTGATCTATTTTGGTTTTTTATGTGTTTTTCGTATGTTTTTCCAGTTTTTCTTCGTTTACGGTGTGCAGGTCGAAAGCTTTGGGAATTTATTTTCCACGATGATGGGCCGGGTGAAAAAGCAGAATCAATTTCCGAGTCCAAATGAGCGTAAACGACCCCAAGACACGAAGCAGTTCAAGAAAGCTAGCATCTCTCGGCCCAAGTCCCCGCGCCACTGTCGCATCGCGATCGTTGCCGCGACCCTGACAGAGCCTCCCAGGTGCTCTAGCTCCTGCGCCGCGGCACTCCAGACTTGTCGCGCCGTGCAACATTCCCACGCTGTGGCGACCACCAGCCTCGCGCTGCGGCAGCATCTCATGTCGTGCCAGATTCTCTTGCCGCGCCGTGATAGCCCTCAGCGTCGTGCCTCAACTCCTCTCCACGCCTTGGCAAGCTCCTCTCCACGCTGTGACATGTGACATGTATAAATATATGCGAGAATTGATCAGAAAGACACTCTCCCCCTCCTGGGGATGACCCCTAGCCCGTAAAAACATGAAAAACTCCATTCTTCTCCTCTCCTTCTTCTTCCTCCTTTCTTTTCTTCTCTTCAACTTTCTTTTTTTTTTTTTCCTCCTTCTTCTTAGGATTCAAGGATTAAACTTGTATAATGAATTCGACATTTGAACTTGGATTGATTGTAAGTTTTTTTATCTTGTTTAATTCATGAGAATGATTATATGGGGTGAAATGCTTGATTGTGTTGAATTCTATTTACGTAACTAATTCTGATTGCTAGGGATAAGGGGTGATTGTTCTTGTTTAAATTGTATTTGTTGGGCTATGGTGAGTTGATTTAGTTCAGAATTGATGAATTTGTGCTTGATTGAATGATATAATCGAAGAGTGACACTTCGATCTTGCAATTGGAAATAACTGAATGTTAATTTGTCGAGTTAGGGTTTGTTAATTCTATGTGATTAGTTGATTAAATACCTTCTAATTGAATTAGCGACTTTTAGAACCGAAATGGGAGAAGTCCTAGACTTAGACTTGCATGAGGTAGATGATTTCATAATTGAATAGTCTATAGGTTTTGGATTGAAATATGTGCCGGTGAATGACTCGTCCCTTGTTACGAAGAGTTATTGAGATTAGATAACTGACATGTGTTGTATGCTCGAACTTGTTCGTCTATGTTCAATCCCTTGTTACGAGAAGTTATTGGGAGTGAACCGGTAGATATTTAAGCGAGAGTGTCAATCTCGAGAACTGAAAAATTGATTGCCCGGTTGTGCTAAAAGAACTTGAATTAATTATCCACGACTCCCTAGCTTCTTTATTCTTGTTTCGTTAATATTTATAGATAGATTATTTATTTTAGTTATTTCTTAGCTGGTAATTGCCCAACTCCCTTATCTGATTAGTATGTTTATGATTTGTTTTCCTTTTTTGTGTGATTGCTACCAAAGCTAAAATCTGAACTGCCTTCCTCGAGATCGATCCAGAGAACGAATCTTTCGATTTGATACTCGGTAAAAAATAATAATTTGTACCTAACAAGACCTACGAACCTAAATACTTTGGCGCATATTGTACATCTCAACTTTCAATTCGTCAGACACATTTTTGTAAAAAGAAATGGAAGATTTTAAAAAGTTTACTTTTTGCCCAGTATATTTATGATAGCTCTCAAGAATTCTCAAAACCGAAATAGTAGAACTAAGATCAGCACCAGTAAAAGGAGGGAATCATCTGCAAAAATCATATAAGACAGATTCATACCCCCTCTAGCCAGTCTAACCCATTTCAAGAACCCTCTATCTACTTCCCTTTTAATAAGCCAATGAAACAACTCAGAAATCAAAATGAAAAGGTAAAGAGATAGAGGATCCCCTTGACTTATACCTATATATGCATCAAAGAAACCAAAAACATCCCCATTCATGTTCAGATAAAAGGAAGTAGATGACACACATACTATAATCCACTTTACAAACTTCCTGTGGAATCAAACTGCAAAAGAATTTTCTGCAAACGGCCCCATTCTAATCTATCATAGGCTTTCACCATATTTAGTATAAGAGCTAAAAGGCCTTGCCTACCTGGAATATAAGCAGATTGGTTCTCAATCACACACAAATAGAGAAAAGGTTTAATCCTATTACCAAGAATCGTAGCAATGATTTTGTAGGCTACCTCACAAAGGTTGATAGGTCTGAAGTCACTTAAAGAAGTGTTAATGCATTTAGGGATCAAAGTGATGATAGAATGGTTCCCAATTCTAAGCAACATACTAGACTAAAAAAAACTAACAGCAACTTCATAAAGATCCTGCTTAATAATTGGCCAACAATGCTAGAAAAAAAGAGGACTCATACCAGTGATGCCAAGTGCTATCTCAGGATTCATTCTGAACAAGGCTAATTGGATTTCATCTATATAAACTGAGGCCACTAGAGTTTGATTAATGGTATGAGTGATTACTCTGGGAATAAGCTGAAGCACACCACTATCATCTGAGGAGCCTTCTGTGATGAATAATCTTCTATAAATGTTGCTAACTTCATACACAATGGCTTCCTTGCTATCACACACTCTGGCTCCATAAGCCACCAACCTGGTAATTTCGTTGTGTTTTCTCCTCTGCATTGTCAGTGCATGAAAGAACTTTGTATTTTGGTCACCCTCTTTCAGCCAAAGGTTTCTGGACTTCTGCTTCCAGAATATTTTTTCTGCACATTGAGCCTCCTCAAGCTCTTTTTTGAACTTTTCCCAGCTATCCCAATTCTTGCCTTTACTTTTTAGCTCATCTCTTCCAGTTGGAGTGTAATATGTTCAATTGTTTTTGCATTATTATTCTTGAAAGCCTGACTCCATTTGAGAAGAGCAATTCTAGTGTTCTTGATCTTTTCCTAAAATCTGAACATAAGTGTACCAGTATACTAAGATTCCCATGCTTGTTGAACAACTGTCTACACCTCTGGTTTTGGATGTCCACCTCTTGTCAAATTGAACCTTGACTTCTTCTGATAGATTCTAGTATTGTCGTGAACCAAAACATTAGGTTGTGATCAGAAGAGGCCTTGAAACATCTTAACACAGCTGCATTTTTGTATTTGGTGTGAACTGATGAGTTATGTTGTTGGACCATGTGAACTGATGGCCTAACATATTCACTTCCACCATCCCCATTTGATCTATGAATTGCTGGAATTCTAACATCACAGAATTCTTGTCCCGGCCACCTTTTTTTTCATTTATGTCCACTATATCATTCAAATCCCTACTAATCACTCATTCTTGCCCCACTTTGATTTAGCATGTAACAAAAAGTGCCACTGCTCCCCTCTAAGGAATTTGTCAGTGCTGATATAAACAAAAATAAGCCAAACAGAACCTGTTCCACCAGGAATTCCGACTTCAACTTCAGAACAAAAAGGATGTCTAACTATATGCAATATTTTCAGTTTTTTGTCCCAAAACAAAACAAGGCCTCTACTAATACCAACAGGATCAGTAGTCACACATCTATCCCTAAAACCCAAATCATTTCTGACAGTTTTGACAAAATCTTTTTGTTTTTTAGATTCGGATAAAAAAGAAGCTCGGGTGGTGGATTCTAATAGAATCCTTTAATAGCCTTATATCCGTCACATGCTTTCCTTCAACTACTCTATTTCATTCAAATTGTCACTTCCGAGCTTGAAAAGAAGCATCCGAGTCTGTAGCATTAAATGAAAGAAACCATTTCTTTCGAAATGGGAATGGAATACAACGCCTTATCATTATCCAATTCTTATGCCAAAAAGCACGACTTTCCTCCGATGGCTTTGGCTTAGGCTAGAATGGAATACGCACTTAGAGAGACTGGAGTAGATAAAGGTAAGAAGCAATGGAGGAACTGACAATCGTAGACTTCATTTAAATCCATCTCACACCTGGCCTCGAGGCAGATGAAAGACTAGGCACAAAAAAGACCATAACCTGTACCCGACTACAGACCAACCTAAATAGCAGAATTAGCATGGAGTGAATAAAAAATGGACGTAGTAGCTTAGATAGATCAAAAAAGTTGTGAATAGGGGTTCAGTTCTTATTTTTCCAAGGTAGTTTAGTGGGGGAGGCAACTCAGTACAATATGAAAACAATAGAGGGGCCACCCAAACCTCTACCCAAACCTCTACAGTTCCACAAAATCATTTTCATTATGTTGGGGCCATTTTAGGGTGGCTTCTTCCACATTGACATTAATGATCTTTGATTTCTTCTTACCTCTGACCAGAACCTCAGTTTTTTCATTCTCTCCTAACTACTCATTAGCAATGACTCTTCCACTCTTTAAGGACTCCTGAATAACTATTCCCCCTGCTTTTGGCAAACACCTAAGAATTCTACCATCTTCATACATTTCTCTCTTCCAGCCTCTTGCTTTAGATACAGGCTCTGTGGCTTTCAGAGGTGCCACCTAAGAAGGATGCTCTTAGGTGTGTGGCTCCGAGTTTACCTCAACCATAACAAGATCACCTGTAAAGGCATCATCCACACTCACTAGATTGTTGATAACACTACCTTGAACATGGATATCTACAGATGGTGTTAACTGAAGCTGATGTGTAGTGTTTTTGTCAAATCTTGGATTGCCAACTTCAAACTGACTTCCCTCTAATTTTTATTGAGAAGTGGTAACCCTGCCTTGACAACTTCATTTCTTCTTTCTCTGTTGCTTTGTTCTGCTTCAACACTGACTTTTCTAGAAGATCCTTGATTCCCATTGCTAATTGGTTAGGCGATTCTGTATTATTTTTTGGCTGGCTGCCTGAAGGACTTAATCTTGAATTACCACCTCCCTCTATAGCCTTTAGCCATCAGCATACTTCCATTCCTTTAAACATCCTTGTTCTATATCAGCCAGTCTTTTACTACAGGCTCTATCAAGATGGCCTAACTTACCAAAAAAATAACAGAGGTTCACAAGTCGCTCATACTGAAAATTGATTAAAATCTGGCTGTTATTTAACTTCATGTTGATTCACCTGGGAAGAGGTTCATTAAGATCAATAGTGATAAGAAGCCTGATGAAGCTTCCCCTTCCTCCTCATGCTTTCATAACTGACACATTCTTAACTCACTTAAAAATCTTCCCAATTTTAAGACCTACTTCAGCACTCAACCAATTAAGAGATACATTCCCTACTTGCACCCACATGTTTAGCTCGTTTAAGTCCTTATGGTGAGCATTCATACCCTCCTCCCATTCCATAAAAGCAAGATATTGATTCTAAAAAATTCAATTCACTACAGCTTCCACGTTCTTCTCATCCTTATTAGTTCCAAAGATGAATTGAAAGAAATTATGACTTAATTCTCTAACCTCCACCTGATGTTTGATTTGCCAAATAGCACCCATAGTTCGTTTGATGCTAGAAGAGAAGCTTTCTTGTCGCCAATAGTTCGCCCAAATAAATTTTGTTTGCAGTCCTCCACACTAGAAATAATATCTTCCACATTAAGTTCAACCACTCCATTTTCAGCGCCCGCGAGTTTGATGTTCCTCAGCTTATTCCCAATTTCATCTGCTAAACCTTCATAGTCCGTCGCCTCAGAAGAGTTTGAATCCATCACCAGCCTGTCTAAGAAACCCTGATGAAATACCCTAACTAGAACAAAGGAAAAGAACAGAAAAAAAAATAAAAAAAAAAACTGAGTGAAGAAGCGAAAGACTCTCAACAAGAGAATGGAAATGGAAGGAGAATCGAAAGCTCTCATGGGAGAGAATAAGCATCTCAACATTAGGATTGGTTAGAAATTATGATTAAACACTTTGTTTTCTATTTATTTCCACTACATACAAAATAAAACTATCTCAAATTATAATAAATCCACACACTTAATTTCAAATAATATTATTAATATATTATAAAGAAAATATGATAACAAAATAATGTAATTAGTATTAAAAACTAAAAAATAAAAATAAAAAATTATCGTCGAGTCCGCTTAGGCGCCGCCTAGCTAATTTTTCAGCCGACTCATGCGAATCGGAGGCAGTTGAGCGGTGTCTAGCGCCAAGGCGGCTGCAATAGGCTGATTTTAATACAGTTATGCTGGCCCTTTAAAAGTGATAGGCCAGTTGTAGTGCCCCATTCGTTTTATAAGAATTATCCTATTTTATCGTTTTATTGCTTTTCTTTTATTTTAGTTTCATTGCTCGACAAATCTCTCGTCTAAGCATATTATGATTAATTATGATATGGGATGTTATATACTGGACCGGTTTATAGGGCTAATCAAAGGAGACCGACCGGTTTGTTGGACGGTCTAGGGGGGATAAGGTCGAATGGCATGGTCGAGCAAGACCAGACACCGGCCGTTAGAGGATCGAGCAGATAACGACAGTAACGGAGAGCCGAGGTGGTCGACAGATACAAGTCATCTGAGGATATGGTCGAGAGAGGACGATCGAGGAGACATAGACGTACGTAACTGATAGAGCATCGGAGCGCATAGAGGAATCTCCAGCACATAAGGAGGAGGACACGCGGCGCATGGTGAGTGGTCAACAGCCGTAACCGACTCTGACATTCTCTGACAAAGGTGACGCGTTTTCTGACACCGGGGATAGTGGAGGCGCGCGGTCGTACGGACGAGCAGAGGACAATTGGCCGAACGCACCCGGCTCGCGCGTGCAACTCAGGTAACTCGTCCCTATAAATAGGGGCGAGAATCCTCATTTTCAACACAATCTGACATACTCTTACATTTATCTATACACTAATATCATCTCTCAAGATCTGACTTGAGCGTTGGAGGCTCTTCACCGGAAAACACCTCCGGTGTGGGAGTTTCGTGCAGGTTCCGCGTTCAACCGGCGAGGAAAGCAAGCTCAAGGCGAATTCCAGCCGGGCAGGGTGCGAGACTTGTATTATTGGCGCCGTCTGTGGGACTCTTGTTCGAAAAGTTGTGTTCTGAGCTCAACTATGGCGGACGGAGTTCCTCGAGTGAATTTGCAGTCTTCATTTGACGAGGCGTGGACGATGACAAGACCGATGGGATCAGGACCTCCACCTGAATTCTCTGGACCCTCGCAAACACCGGTGACCCCGCCGCCGATGCCCCAGGGTACAGCGATCTTGGGAGGAGGAGCAGGCACGAGCAGAGAGCACGAAGCTCAAGAAGCGGTGCCCACGGTAGTCCCCGCTCCGTTGCAAGCGGGCCCGGTCGTGATGCAGCAAACAGGGCCGACAGTGCAAACCATGATGCCGCCAACAGGAGGAATACCACAA